AATTTATTATTTCGGTCAAATAACTATCTACTCAACGTGTTTATGTTTTGTCAATAATGGCATGTATTGACTATTTCCATTCTATATATCTTGAGAACGGTTGCTCGTAACGATTTTTACCAAGAGATATTTTTTACGTAAAAAGTCACGGAAATGTATATTTTTTCACTCAGCAGTTTTATACAGGTACGGACGAAAAGTTATTACTCTTCAAAACAGTTAAAATACATGTAGGTGGCGCCCCCTACTATGAGGAGTCATATTGACATCAAAATCAAATTTCTCGTATCAAAAAACTCCCAGACACCAATTTTTATCCAAATATTGACGGTAGTTCAGTAATTATTTGGAAAAGATCGAAATAAAAATGAAATTTTTACTGCCATAATATGCCTATATATTTAATTTATCTGCAGAATATGCCGCCGAAGTTTCCGGAATACAATTCGGACCACCCTGTATATCAACGCCCACTGCATCAATGGAGGCGCTTCTGGACCGCCTCTTCACATATTGATCCAGGCGGAGGCAAGAATGGGACTCTATCAACAACAAAGTGTCTTGTCTCTGGGAAATAGGACAAAAACAGGACACTTAAAGATGGGAGATTCTATCCATCGGAGGACCTCTACTCCCAATGAGATCGGACCAAATGACCCCCCTTTATCACTACCACAAGCCATTCGAGGTGAACAAAATGGATCGAGTAATGTGGACAGATATAACATTCCTTCAGGATGGACTAAACTAGTATACAGACGGGTCAAAGACCGCTGAAGAAACAGGAGCTGGAGTATTTGGGGAAAGACCAAGGGCAAGCTTATCCTTTTCCTTAGGTAAACACTCAACCGTATTCCAGACAGAAATCTTCGCCTTTCTACAATGTGCAAAAGAAAATAATAGAAGAGCTTATTCAGGTAAGCTCATCAATATATGCTCAGACAGTCAGGCGGCACTTGGGGCGCTTATGAGCTCAAAGGTATCGTCGAGACTCGTCTGGGAATGCCTGGGTGAACTGGGAGCTCTGGCACGAAGGAACAGAATTAAATTATTCCAAGGCAACGAAAAAGCCGATAAGCTAGCTAGGCAGGGATCATCGGCATCCTATCTTGGTCCAGAGCCAGTACTGGGAATACCCCAATGTATGGCCCGTAGTGCACTAAAACTCTGGATCAGGGAAAAGCACAATGCCCATTGGAGAAACAGACAGGGGCACAGGCACAGCAAGGCTTTTATCCAAGGACCTAGCTCTAAAGCCGCAAAAGAACTGCTAATGCTTAGCAGGAATAAAGTGCGGATTACAACAGGCCCCTTGACAGGACACATGGCTGTCAAGTGTTACCTGAACAAGCTCAACGACCTGTATCAAGGAAGTCTTTGCTGCAGACTCTGCGATTAACTGACTTGATTTTAGGTACATGAGATCTCACAACTTTTTATAGTGGAAGAATTTTGTTGCGAACATTTTTAACTTCTATGTTTTTGATGGGATCTCGTTTCTTTTTGTAGGTTATCGTCCTATTTTTTCTCAGGTAATATATCATTCAAATATTAAAGTAGTTTGACTAGCAATAATTATTAAATTATGATTATTGTTAGTTCCCAGTAATAATTAGTACGCAGAAAGAAAAAGATCGTGGGTGTTTGGGAAGGCTCGAAAGGAAACAATGTTTTTGCGACGTTTCGCGACTTTATTGTCGCTTCTTCAGGCACCAAAACATATGAATCCATATTTTGCCTAAAAACATTCATGGCGATTCCAACCGCCAACACTAAGCCACATACGGGCCACAATTTAACGGGCATTTTTTGCCCGACGTACACCGATCAATACGACACAAACCGAGCATCAGTGTACGTCGGGCAAAAAATGCTCGTTAAGTTTTTGTTCTTTCTTCCGTATGTGGCTTAGTGTTGGCGGTTGGAATCGCCATAAATGTTTTTAGGCAAAATATGGATTAATATGTTTTTCAATAAAGTCGCGAAACGTCGCAAAAACATTGTTTCCTTTCGAGCCTTCCCAAACACCCACGGTTTTTTCTTTCTGTGTAATAATTATTAAACTTTGAGTTATCGTATAAAGTCAGACAATATCAAATGGATTAATTTTAGTTTGCTAACGACTTTCGTTATAATCCAAATATTTATTTAAAAAATGTTCAGTTCATGATTTTACCAACGCTTATTCAAAATCATGTTTTTGTCAATTTTACACATATTTTATTTTCTATCTCGAAAACTATAAGAGATAGGTATAAGCAAGGGTATAAGTTACTATAATAGAAAAATTATGAGATATGAGAGTAGTTTCCAAAAATGTAATAATATACTCGGTGTTCTATTGAAAATAACAAAGATTCTACCACTTTTCAAATGATCCGGCAACACTCTGTAACGCTGATAATATTTTAGATAGATGAAGCAGCATTTATATAAAAATCCAAATTTTTAAAACAATCCTATAACCGGTCCTCCTGTTACCATCGCCGGAAAGTCGGTTACCCGTAGCGGCTAGACAGCTAACTTTTGATCCATAAGGATATTTCGACATTTTTCATTTTTTCCTTCCATTATAAGCTTAATGCTACCTAAAATTCAATTTAGAAGTTTGTAACACTTCTAGAAGTACCTTAGAATTTTGATGACGGCGTGTGAGTCACTGGGCGAAATTAAAGAAGTTTGACTAGAAAAAAATCATAATCCTTAAATAATTGTTGCTACATTGATATACAAATAAAATCAGAAGAGACCGCTTCGGTTAATTCTAGTTTTCTACTTTTTTCTGGACTGGAAAGTAAGATACCGGTAACGGCTAGACAGCTAACTTTTAATCCATAAGGATATTTTGAGGTTTTTCATTTTTTTCTTTTGGTTATAAGCTTAAAGCTACCTAAAATTAGATATTTGAAGTTTGTGACATCTAAAAGTAGCTTTTAGAATTTTGATAATCTGTCAGAGAGTCAATGTCAAAATTAAAGAAATTTGACAAGCGATACCTCATAAACTGAGGAATAATTACTAGATATTTTGGTAACCTAGCCAGCTACACAACGCAGTTACAGGATGGCCAAAAATGACGCTAATACGACGCCTTCGAGAAAAGGATGGTACGGCTGTGTTCGACTTGGCGCGGCGGGGACACTGCCGTGCCCCCAGATTGCGGACAAATGGCGTACAATGTTTTACTTCATACTGTTTGAATAAAAATGTTTTTAAATAATTGAGTATTTTTTAATCCGCTCATCTCATATCTTTTGGATATTATTGCATTTACAGGTAGAAGCATTATCAGTAATACTGATATACGATTACACGTAGAGAATGGAGAATGAATGGAAGGGGGGTTAATCACTGCGATTTTAAAGATCTATTGTGTACTTAGATTAAGAATTGTGTCCCCCTGTTGTAGGGGGAACAGGGTATTTCCTATCCTCCTCTGACAACAAATATATTCATCCTCCGAGGAGTGGACATCTACCTCCTACAAGGGATACCCCCTTCCACGGTTGGGGTTTAGCCCTCCGTGCCCTTCAAAGTCGAGGAGCTTGTCTCCGTCTGAGGTACCCGTGAGGTGGAGACTGGAGGATCTGTCTTCATTTTCTCCATCTCTTTAACTTCGTCTCTTCTTAAACCTGATACCGGTGTTGTCCCGGATCTATAATAGAGGATATATCCCTCTTTCTCTTTTGCCCCCTTGAATTTGAAGTCAATTCTTTTTGGAGGACCTGACCATCTAATTTTATTTACGTCAAAGTGGAGTCAAAAGTCAGTGCTATTAAAGAAATTTACCTATTTTAAGGAAGCTGACGGTATGAAAAAGACTATGGTCTAAAATTCGGTAAAAAATACAGGCCTTATTACTGTAAAACCTTACTTTACGGACTAAATCAACAGACGACAATCAAGTAGGTATGTAAAGGTGTCTTGGTGTCTTGGTCAAGGTGCCCGGTGGCGTAGAGGTACAGGCTCTCGTCTACAAATCTCAAGGTGTGGGTTCGATTCCCACACCCGGCATTTCATCAGCCGACTATTTTTATTAAAATAAAAATAGTTTGGGTACCTAGGTCGACTCTTAAATGAGTACTTGGGATTCACAATCCTGAGGTAATAATAGGCGGTTGAAGCGTAGTGCTAGCCACATTACCTTCGTTGTATACCGAACGGCTCTAGTATAGCAAGCTGTACCTTGCTACTCCCAAGGCGTTAAATGCTATATACGGGAGCTATTATTATATGTAAAGGTGTGTTTTGCGACGCAGTATGAAATAAAACCATCTTATATCATTTTATTAATGTTTAAATTTAATAAATTTCACACCTATTAACTCTGAGGATGTAAGTTTTGTAGTAAGATATGGCGTTAACTTTCATTTTATGAATATCGTTATAACAAAAACATATCTCGAATAAAATATCTGTTTATTTTTGGTATTATACCTTCCACTTTCTTTGCAACTCAGTATATGTAATCAACGTGCTTTCACTTCGCTGTAATAAGTGGACAGGAAAATATCGACAATTTGAAATTAACTACTTAAATACCTCATAAAAGTACCAATAATGTAGTTATTTCCATAATTAGATACAATCAATTTCTGCAAAAATGTGAAACCGATTATATTCATGTAAAATATTTAATAACCCATTAGAAATGTCGAGAAAAGTGAAAATACAGGGTGGCGTCTTTTATACCATGCGAAGGCTCCAAGAAGAACGACAGTTTGTATTGAAATGAAATATTGTGAACATATTTAGGGTCAATCGACCAGTGAATGAACAGTTAACCGAAGTATTAACTTTAAATAAATCACGATTTTTTATTTTATATAATATGGGGTAAAACTGGTACAAAGGCAACTATCTATAATTGAAAAATTAAGAAAATATTACCTAGACACAAAAATAAAATAATACGGTTTCACAAATTTCAATTTTCGGCGAATAAGCGAAATATCTAGTAAATGAACGATAGAAGTCAGTAAATAAACACATAAAGACCAGTTAATGAACGTTGTATTTATTAAATTAAGCTTTACAAAAATTCAAGTTTAAATAAACATAAGCTTTTAATAAACATAATCAGGTAAGAATATAATATAAAAAATATTATGCTGCATTTACATATTAATAACAAAAGTCCCTTCAGCGCTATGAGGTATTGGAACAGCAATTTTTTTCACAATTTTATCCGAGTAATACCAAATTTGATCAGGTGGTGACGGCCACTTCCAAGTGTTCTTTTTTGTACTATGGATGTTTTTTATCTTTACCTCTGTCAGTGTATATATTTTGTTTATAATTTTGAGTGTTGTACGTGTTTTTCTATATTCTTTTGTGTATATTTGTATACATATTACTTTTATTGTACCATGTGTTTGGCATACGATAAATAAATAAATGTAGCATGGAGAGCACTTACTTTATATTCATTATTTTTAACAGCCTTTATTAGGCCAGGATAATGTGAATCCTCATAGTTTACCAGAACATAATCACCTTTAACAAAAGGAACGCTTAAGTCAAAATTTGATGTTGATTTTTCTAAACTTATTGATGACAATTTAGGGGAAATTTTATTCTTAGTTCCTTCTTCGTCCGATTCTTCGATTTTTTGAGCATTATTACGCTTCGTCATTTCTGACCATTTTTCTTGTTTTTCGTATGTTTTCTTTTTTTGTCCTTGTAGTTTCAATTCAAATAGTGACAGATTTTCATCCGTACTTGAGGAATCATCTCTGTTAAACCGTTTTGTATACTGTTGCTCGATTTTCTGATCTTTATCACGCTTCCGCTTTTCTGACTTTTTCTCTTGTTTTTTGCATGTTTTTCTTTCTTGTCCTTGTTTTAGCTTCAATTCAAAAAGTGACAGGTTTTCACTCAAGTTTCTGTTAGGTCTCTTTATTTCATACTGTCGCCTGATCTTATTTTTTCGTTCTTGTTGTTCCATTCGCTTTCTTTCTCTATCGAGTTTTTTTTAATGTCTTCCTCTTTTTGACGCTTTATTTTATCTTGTTCTTGATGAAATTCTACCCATTTTGTTGAAGTTATCGCCTAGAGGCATCACTTAAGTTCATGCTGCCTGATTCTACTGCTCTGATACCCAGTGACAACTGCTCTTTGGAATATTTGAATCTAGTGTATTTCCGCTCCATCTGTACCAACAAAAAATATTTATTTTTAGTAATCGCCGAAAACTTTTGATAAAACTATAATACTAAAAATTAAACCTCCAAAACAAAAACTAGTGCCCACTTATCCTAATAATAAGAGACAGAAATCATTTGCAAAAAGGTCTTATGCTTAATCTAGTAAATGAACAGGAACAATATCCAGTAAGTAAACGATTCAAAATCCTGTTCATTTACTGGCTGGCATTTATTTTTATTACATTTAAGGTATTTTAATGGATTTACATATGTAAACAAAGCTTAAGGGTCATTTTAAAGCAATTTCAGATAATCGAATAAAATACCAGTAAATGAACAGCCGTTCATTCACTGGAATTTGAACTTTTTTCCCGCCAGTTATTAAACACATTAAATAAAAATATAACCTAAAAGATAATAGATGTTTTACTTTTGGATTAATAACGATGAATTCTTGAAATATATATTCTCACACACTGCCAAGCTTTTATATTTTATGAACAATTAAATACCATCATTAATAATAGGATATGCATCTACTTACCCTAAAGAAAATGGCGCTTAAAAGACTAACAACGTCAGACTACAACTTTGAACGGCGATTTGCACGTGTCGTTTATTAACTGGTTGTATTTCAGCAAGTTAGTCGTAAACTACGCAGTGTAAATTAGATTATAAAAGGACAACAAATAGAGTTTAATGGCCGTATACCTTATTAGAGCAAGATAAAGTTTTTTTTTTCATTAACTGGGTCACATTCATTCACTGGTTGGTTTACCCTATGTTAATTTAGAGCATTTTTTTAAAATATAGAGTTCTACAGAGAGTCCCTAAAAAAGTTATACATCAAAGTTGTTTTTTTTTGTATTAATTGATTGTCGGATTCTATGAGAAAAATAAAGATAAGCTTCATTAGAGAAACAAATGACTTAAATGTAAAGTTTTTCACATATTTAACATTTTCTAAAAACGAAGACAAATTTTAAATTTCAATAAAAGCTACCTAAATTGGAATTTACCCGGTATAGCCTAATATGTAGTTAAACTAACCATTGTACTTTTTAAATCAAATTAAAACTGGGACCAAAAAGTTATACAGGGTGAGACAAAACAAACAGTGTCACTTTTAAAGGCAAGTTACTCTTTTGTTTTAAATAGTACACCCAATTATTCCGACATTCTATGGGGAATTCATGCCTCTTCAAAATAATATTAAGGGTCATTTTCAGTAGACCTTTACTATTTGATTGTTGAAACCTTTGTTAAAACAGATGTAGGTATTATTGATATCAAAATCAAATTTCTCATGTTAAAAAACTCCCAGACACCAATTTTCATCCAAATATTGACGTCACTTCAGAAATTATTTCGAAAAAATCGAAATAAAAATTCAACTTCTACACCCTGTATCTCCAAAATTAAGTATTTTAGGACATACATTTATACGAGCTCTTTTATTTATGTTTTTCTGCAGAATATGCTGCCGAAGTTTCCGGAATACAGTTCGGACCACCCTGTATACACTGCAAACTACGACAAATCCTTTTCTGGCGCTAAAATATTGACTTTACATTTAGTACTTAACAACTCTAAACAGTTATTTTCCAATTTTTCAACATTTGACTTGTGTGGATTTGTCGGGTGGAAACTAGGCAACTCACATGTTGGTTGAAGGACCTGTATACCAATTTTAAAGAATAATCAATTAAATATAAAAATATAATAGACGTTTAAATATATCTATAAAAAAGTAATTCATTGTCTGTTTTTTTTAGAAGAGAGTCCATATGAAGAAGGATTTCCAGACAATTCCGTATTTGGCATTTATGATAAGAATGGCCGTGTTCGACGTGTAACAGTTCCCGTCGCTGTAAATACGACATACAAAAGCCAACTTGATCGAAGTTTAAGTTCATCATATGGAGACTCTACAGAGTAAGTTTTTATACTATACTAGTCAAACTCATCATCCAATTTAACTTGTCATCCAATTTAACTTGTCCAATAGGATAAAAAATATTTTTTATAACTGTCATCCGTTGATACCATTATCCGATGACGCTCTGATTGATCATAGCGTTGATTGAATGAATTGGGAAGATAGGCAACATAATGGGCGAATTCGTGACAGGGCTGATTTTGATTTTCCATAACGTCTCAAGTGCTGTACGGTGGAGCCCCAACTCATTGTGCGGCCAACGCATAAAACACGCATTTTCTTAATTCGGCCAGCGAAGGCATATCAGAGACGGTGCGGATCTGAAAACGACAGTGTTGCCAGATGTGTAATATCTGTAATACGTTTGAGGAAAATATCTTTGGATAAAAAATCCACGTTTATGTATTGAAATTTATTCGTGTTAAATATAGATTAAACAATAAAAATAAATATTCTTACTATATCAAAATATTTCTATCCTTCAGTATTTTTTACTTTATGTAAAAGACTATTATTTTAAGGAAGTTTCATCCATGAAACTAAAAGCAATGTATCTTGATTAAATTAGGTTTAATCATGTTTCCTTGTTATTATAATTATATCGTCTGGACTATGGGCCCGTCATGCGATGGAGACTATTAGATTTTATTCGAATTTAAAAAAATCCGTATTATTAACGTACCGTACCCAAAATCCGTAAATCTACGGGTTAATCCGTAGTTCTGGCAACACTGTCTCCGGCAATCACCCACTCTGTCTACTTAAAGGTTGATTCTCACTACACCTTACTTATCAGCTACCTTCCGTTTACATAAAACATGTCATGTAAATGAATAGGACAATGCACACTATCCGTTCCGTTTCCCTTCCGTTCCATATTCTTTCCTGCCATACATTTTTTTGGCGGACGGACTGAAGCGTATCGGAAACAGCGTTGTCAAGTTCTTACATTTGTACCAGCTACTGTTAACATTTTGCTGATATTTATTTATTCTTTCACCTCTTAATTAAATATATTACCTTTTTCAAGAGATACAATTTTTTTTTTAAAAAAGTAAAACCTTTTAGTTTAAATAGGAATCCAACATATAACAACAGGTCTTACTGACCATACACCACTATGAAAAACAAGTCGAGAATAAAATTACTTGTTAACCTGACAACAATAAACAAGAAACAGCAGCCCTCATTCAGAAGGACAACCATTATGTCGTTCTTGTTAATAGTATCAGTATTAAAATATTTATATTTTTTAGTGCCTTATTAAAATAATTATATCTAGGTGCCCGGTGGCGTAGAGGTACAGGCTCTTGTCTACCAATCTCAAGGTAGTGGGTTCGAATCCTATACCCGGCATTTCATCAGTCGACTATTTTTATTAAAATAAAAATAGTATGAGTACCTAGGTCGACTCAGCCTTAAATGAGTACTTGGGATTCACAATCCTGAGGTAATATTAGGCGGTTGAAACGTAGTGCTAGCCACATTACCTTCCTTGCATACCGAACGGCTCTAGCATAGCAAGCTGTACTCCCAAGGCGTTAAACGCTATATGCGGGAGCTATTATATTATATATCTTTTAGTTCTAAATATAGTCTGTCCAACGACCCAGGAAATATTTCGATAGTCGACTTCCAAAAAATTACAGAAATTACAATTTCCCTGTAAGTTAAAATGATAGACACAACTGTCACTGTCAGGGATCCTTTCCGTTGGGCAGACTATACTCGACCGTTCCTCTTTTTTTATTAAACTATTCATTATTTTACAGTTATGATCCATACACTTCCAGACACGAGCTGTACAGCAGACTAGATGAGATGCCAAAGCGAACTGACAGAACAATGCCCATATACGACGATGTCCGAAGATTGAGAAGAAAACCAAACAACTTCGGTCTAACCAATTATGGACACTTGAAAATTGATTATTCTATTAGCTGGAACGACTTAAATAAATATATTAGATATAATAGTTAAGGACGTAATCATTAAAATACTAATTTGTAGTTTCACCCAAAGACATCTAAATGGGTAGACAGAACACTCCATTCATAAAACTCAATTTGTTCGAATCATACATGGTTTGACACTTTTATGAGAGCAAGTATGAGAGTTAAAAAGGTCATTTGGCTCTATCAGTGGCGTGATGTTTTTTTTATCAAAAATTGATGAATTTTATCAAAAATTGTTTGGAATTGCCTCAGACCAATTTTCCATTATAACTAGTTTTGCCTGAGGTCTAACTGAGGGTAACTCTAATTTCACAATCGAAAGCGCCAACAAATAAGAAAATATACGTATTTTTGTAATAATCTACTTATAACTAAAAGTATCTAGATACGCTACTGTAAGCATGGCTAGGTAAAAAAACGTAATGACACTTACCGTCGAAATATCAATTCCGGGTTGGAATAGTCCACCTTTTTACAAACTATGCACTGGCGAACCATCGTAGATAGTTAAAAACTACTTTAAATAGTTTTCTTTGCAATAAACACTAATAACTATTAGAAAATTGTTCAAAAGCTACAAAAACTTTTAACTACCGCAGAAAACTCACAATCGCGCGCTGTCAAATATAATTTGAATGGAAACAAATGAAAATGTCAAATGTCAGCGTAATTCCTACAGATTTAGACAATTTCGTAGTAAAGATGAATCCGCAGCGATGCCGCTAGTTGTCATTGTAAGTTCCCTAATATAATTTAATTAGAAAACCAAGGTAGAAAACTAAAAATAATTTCAAAGGTATAATCCTGGCACAATCTACATATGTATATTAATTAAAGTTATATGTTATATACCTATACAAATATTTAGTTTAACGTTTCTATAGGTACCCAAAAAACATTAATAACAATAATAACATTTGGAACTCGAACCGTATTCTATCACATACCGCGTAAATCTGTCATCATCGACTTTTGGAACACGGTTCGTGATTGCGATAAATGTAAATAAATAATAAAAGTGTAAATTGTTTTGTCTCCCTTTATTTAGATGTCTTTGGTTTCACTAGGTTTCACTTCACCAACTTTTTACATACATACAATACTCAGAAATACATTCATAGAAGGCAACTATATTCAATTCTATTCAAATAAATTTATGACCCAGCGAGCTTTGGCTTTGGCAGTGAATACAGGTGAATAGAAAGCATGCCTGATCAAAATATTTTAGTCACATTCATTTTTATCTAACTTGGCAGTTGGTATACTCGTAAATGATATTTAAAATTAAAGCATTATTTTTTTCCGTTTAAAATTTATGTTACTGTACGTCTATTCATTCTGTAGCTACGGGGCATCCGTAAGAGGGAAAAAGATATTCTCTCGATGTTTCTCGTAAAAAATTAGACGACGCGTCCCATCAATACAATTTGACAAATTTGCAAGTAGCCAATGAAATGAGTGGGCGGAGTGTTTTGCGGTGACATACTCGTCAAGGACCACGTGGTCTGCCGCTTATATATTGCTGTTTATTTAAATGCTTTTTTTGTCCGTATTTCTTTGATAGACACAGATCCAGTAGACGTACTTTATATTATGTGATGTTACTGACCAAATTGAATTATAGAGTTTATATGCATCCGTCATCTGTGTGTTCAAACATGACAGATATTATATCACAGTAGTGATGGGAATACTGGTTCCACATTAGTCGCGTTACAATAGCGACCGTTCCAGAGAAATACCGCGATTTTGTAACCGAGACTCCGGCTTCCAATATTGTCGCTGTTCCCGTCTATACGGTATTTCTGGTCACTGTACTTACCTACTCCTCTCCCTGCCGTTATTTTTGTGTTCGTGCATATTCACAAACAATAACAATTCATAAACCACCCAAATTTGTAAACAATAAAAAAACATGCAGGTGGCTAGAAGAATTTAGTTATATTAGCTTTTAATTTTGAAAATAAAGCTATTCAATACTTTTTATTCGCCATCTTTTCTTCAGACTGAAGATTAGCTTTTAATAGATTTTATATTTTTGCCAATAATACTTAAAAATATATTCTTCTGATACACGTTATAACCGTTAGAATTTAAATTAAAATACATACATTTGTAAGATAATTATATTTTCCTATCCTTTTTCTTAAAATCTGTTTACTTTAAAAATAGTTTAGCTTAAACAATAAAAAGTAACATAATTTGAATCATTATTCGAGATACCTACGTCATATGCTAAATTTATTTATCTACGTGTATGTTTTTATCTACGATATTCCTTATTGGTAAAAACGTTAGAAGTAAAATGTTCATGTCAGATAATCAAAATAAAATCAGTCTTACTTTCTTCCCGTATGTTAATAAAATGCAATTCTCTTTCTCTGCAGACTATTATATAACTCTAATTGGGATTATATTTTTAATCAATTGAAAGTAGCTTTACAAATTTCCTTTTTTTTCGGTCATACTTCTTTGTTTTTTCTTATTTTTATAAAAGTGTTTATTTGTAACTAGCTAATGTACCTAACATGTATTTATTATCAATCAAAAATGTCTAGTACCTAGACCTACCGAAAATCGCGATCTCGAAAGTATCGTAACGACTGTAACGGGAGCATCAACGTCAACGGCGACCGATCAAAGCGCGCCCCTACGTACTTACCAGTTCCAGTTCAAGTTACTACTGTTCGCGACCGACGAGATCGCGACTCCAGGAGCGCGACGGCGACGGCGACGGCTGGAGCGAAACACGGCGCTATGCGGTTACTGCGGTTCGAGCTAAGGCTAAGAACATAGTGGAGCGACGAGGATAGCGGCGAGCAAGCAGCGACACATCGCGTCCAAAACAAACCTGTGAAGTCAAGTACGTGTGAACATAGTAAAGCGATCTGCTCGAGCAGTTAGATCGGGCGGCGAGATCGATTCAAATAATTTTGTTTTCGTGGCTCTGTCGCGCTGTAGAAAACGATGGATTCCTAAATATTAATAGATTTAGTAATTGTAAGAGAGATTTTATGGGACCAAAAAGATAGTAATCACCATAATCGGTACATTTTAGATACGTTATGAGATGAAGTGGTAACAAATTTTCATAAAGGTTATGAAACTTCCCACACTCTCTCTGGTTTTTGAAAATTTCAAGGACTACACCTTTTGGTTTGTTAGTTTCGAATAAAGCAAATGTTTTCGACACTACTGTCCAGAATTCTGGTAACATTTTAAATTATCAATAAGGAAATTAAAATAATAAAGCTGCACAAGTACCTAGCCTATTCCTCGTCGCACTACTATGTTTCAGCACCTCGAGGCTTGCTCGACGCGGTATCGCGCTGCTTGCTTGCCGCTATCCCCGTCGCTCCACTATGTTCTTAGCCTAACTCCAAGAGCGATTACAAATAAGTTATTTACAAATTATAAATAATTTATAGCTCTGTCGTTATTATGATGGTCATTCTTCAGTAACAGGGTCCTGATTCGTTATGGAGCGCGACACGACGTTACAAAAAAAATACCGCTCCAAAATCGCGTTACTCAAATACCGACACATCACCATTTCATCAATGGATAACGCATGACGGATGCATAAAAAACCCACACATAAACCTGTGGATTAACAAATTTACATCCTATGGATGTACCTAACCATTTTTTCTGCTGTTGTCTTTATATCTAATAACTTGTCCCAGGCTGAGTTATTACGATATATTATGTAATAATATCTGTAATTTATTCTTCTATTTAGTTACAATAAATGTATATTAAATTTCTACTTTTGCTCGTTGTTGTTTTCTATTTATCTAACCCATTACTATTTCGTTAGAAACCGCCCTTGATAGATCATTTTGAATAATCCTTCAAAGAGAAATACCGTTTTAAAAATAAATCCTCTAATTTTAAAATTTTCTCCCATCTCCTTTTATACAGTTAGATGCAAAAAAACGCAACGGAGAAAAAAGTGTTATATATTTTTTACTTTTAGTACTATTTTCATTATTTTTTAAGCAAACTGTATATAAATCTATCAGCTTTAATTCATAAATTCAGTTTTCTATAAACTTTAGTATTTGGCTTATTATACAGGGTTAATTGAAGGGTTGTTTTTTTACCCTAACTTTAAAACACCCTGTGCTATAATTTCGTGAGTAACTTTTCCTAAAACATTATTTTTCTATCAGAACTCAGAACCATACTGAGCATTTTCTTTTTTGACTCATGTCAACACATGCCTTGGTTAATTTTTAAGAGCGAAATGAACTTGCCACGAACAAGTTGCAATTTTTTCAACTATCATTACTTTATAATATTTTTTAATATCACAACTTAGCTTTGGTGAATGTTGTCGTAATGTCATATCGACACTGATTAGAACTCTATATTAAAATTTTAAGAACGTTAAAAAGTAACGATACAGGCTTGGTGTTAATGAACATTAGTAACACTAACAGAACTAAGGATATTAAATATAAATAACTGTAATACCTAAGTGTACAAACAAAAAACTTGTAAAAAATACCTCCCCCGGCTGCTATAACTGCCTGTACACATCAGTTCATACTGTTAACGAGGCTGCGAATATATTGTGTTATATTTTCCCATTCTTCTTCTTCTTCTTCAATAAGATCAATGACCTTTGCACAATCTTCGACACTAAGAACCATATTCAATCGTACACAACAATAATCACCAAAGCCACCTCGATATTATGAAGTATAACATCAAAAAGTAACGATAATAGAAAAAATTGCAAAATGTTGGTCGCAACTTCATTTTGCTCTTAAAAATTAACCAAGGCGTGTGTAGACGGGTCAAAAAACAAAATATTCAGAAGACATAGTTCTGACCGAAAAATAATGTTTTAGGAAAATTTGCTCACGAAATTATTGCACAGGGTGTTTTAAACAAAGGGCAAAAAACAACTCTTCGATTAACCCTGTATAATAAGTCAAATACTAAAGTTTATAATAAACTAAGTTTACGAATTAAAGTTGATATATTTATATACAGTTTGCTAGAAAAATCAAGGAAATAGGTCTAAAAATAAAAAATATAACATTTTAAACTAGGCCAAACATTTTTCTGTTGCGTTTTTTTTGCATCTGAGTGTACAAATTTAATATTTTATTTGCTTATCATACCTACTTGCATTTTAATTGATATTTTGTCCAGTTTTAATACGTAAAGCAAAGCAAATTTTTTACACAACTTCAAAATCGCTCAATGAACTTATAGTCTTCCTTAAGTTTAGACAAAACTCGCACTCTGTAAATATATTCAGAATAATGGAAATTATTCTTACCGTTAATTCAAATAACAGAAATATTTAACAATCTTTATATTTTTTATTCTATAAAAAATAGAAACAATTAAATATTAAAATTTATAAATATAGGTTACATATATGGCCTCACTCATCACATTATTTGGTATATCATTAATTGCACATGTTTGCACAACATTTTTCATCACACAAAAATAAAAAAGGAGCGCTTAAAGAAGACTGTATATATTATCCAACCTGAAAAAGAAACATTCATTTACAGATATAGGTATATTTCTACAATAAAATGTATGGCACGATACGTTGTATTATACAGGGTGGTCCGAAATGCTTTCCGGAAACTTAGGCAGCATATTTTGCAGATAAAAATAAGTAAAAAAAGGTCGTATAAATATATGTTCTAAAATGCTTAGTTTCGGAGTTACAGGGTGTAGAAGTTTAATTTTTATTTCGATTTTTTCCAGATATTTCCTGAAGTAATGTCAATATTTGGATGAAAATATTGGTGCCTGGGAGTTTTTTGACATGAGAAATTTGATTTTGATGTCAGTATGACTCTTCTTTATAGGGTGCGCCACCTACATATGTTTTAACCGTTTTGAAGAGTAATAACTCTTTGTCCGTACCTGTATAAAACTACTGAGTGAAAAATATTCATTTCCATGATTTTTTATGTAAAAAATGTCTCTTGGTAAAAATCGCTACGAGCAACCGTTATCTGTCATCAATGAAATTAATTAATTAAACATGTGTTGACTAAATAATTATTAGACTGAAATCATAAATTTGAAATGTTTTTGTGTCAAAAGTTTAAAAGAAACTGTTTTATCATCATTTTTTTGAAAAAGAATTCTGATTAATTTAAAAAAAAAATTATCATTTCGGTCAAATAACTATCTACTATAACTGTCTACTCAACGTGTTTATTTTTTGTCAATAATGACATGTATTGACTATTTCCATTTTAAACATCTTGAGAACGGTGGCCCGCAGCGATTTCACAGACTGTCATATGTCACAGAAATGTATATTTTTTCACTCAGTAGTTTTATACAGGTACGGAGGAAAAGTTATTACTCTTCAAACCAGTTAAAAAATATATATGTAGGTGGCGCCCTCTACAATGTATGAGTCATATTGACATCAAAATCAAATTTCTCATGTCAAAAAACTCCCAGACTCCAATTTTCATCCATATATTGACCTTACTTCAGAAATTATTTGAAAAAAATCGAAATAAAAATGAAACTTCAACACCCTGTATCTCCAAAACTAAACATTTTAAGACATATATTTATACGAACTTTTTTACTTATTTTTCTCTGTAGAATATGCTACCGAAGTTCCCGGAATACCAGGATTTCTATATACAGGGTGTTTCAGAAAACATGTGCCATCTCTCGTGGGGAGATTCCTCGCGTAAAAATAGGATTTATTTTTCATATCAATATAGGACCGATTCTGCTTTGTTCCCTAGCTACAGGGCGATAAAGTCTTAATATTTATTCGATTTATTATACTTTTCTTCCAAGTACTTTTTTCGAATGAAATTTTGAGGGCAAAAGTTACTATAAATGCGACATATTTTAAGGCCAAAAATGTGTCTCTATATTCACCAGGGACGTGCATATGGGTTATCACTGGAATATTTTTCTAAAAAAGCATGTACGCCACTGACTTTTTTTTCTTTTGTTAGCGAAATATTGTTAGCTGTTTAATGCCGATTAAAGTTGTCTCTTGATATTTTGTCGATTTCGGCCTCCCTTGATGAGATAAACACAATTTTATTAATTTGCCTTGATCCAAGTATATAGCACCCTTTAAAAAAAATTATCATTAACTTGAGAAAGTTTTAAGTAAGTACTCATTCATTCCGCATTAAAAAATATGAAAAAAGCCTCCTATAAAAATACATTCCTACGTTTCCTATAAACATATAACATGGGTATGGAAATGCATAGTTTTAGAGTTGCAGGATGTTAAAACTTTTTAAAATGAGGTTTTTTGAAATTATCTTAAATACCATAATTTTATTGTCTTCATAATCTAATAGTCATAATATTTAGTAATAAATTAGGTAAAATAATTTATTTATTTATTTCATTTTTATTTTAATTTTATTAACTGTGATTGATAAAATTGCGTTTATCTCACCAAGGAGGCCGATTTCGACAAAATATCAAGAGACAACGTCCTACACAATTTTGATATCAAAAGAAAAAAAGTCAGTGGCACATATTTTTTTTTTTGAAAAATATTCCAGGATAACCCATATGCACGTCCCTAATAAATTTATCGACATTTTTTTAGCATTAAAATATGTAGCACTTATAGGAATTTTTACCCTCAAAATTTCATTCAAATCACTAAAAGTACGTGAAAGAAAATTATAATAAATCGAAAAATTATTAAGGCTTTAACACCCATGTAGCTACGAAACAAAGTAGACTCGAACTTATGTTGATATGAAAAATAAATCTTATTTTTACGTCTGGAATCTCCCCACGAGAGATGGCACATGTTTTTTTGAAACACCCTGTATATGGCAATACTGGTATTAAATGCCAACTGTCAAGAGAACGCCTTCCACTTGAAGTTGGATTAAAGCGAAAAACAGCACAGAAAATCAGTAATAACAATCCCCAAATCTCGAAATAGATCTAAACCTCTAAGACATTCAATCATTTCTCTAAACATTCAACTTATTCAAGGTTATAAATTATTTGACGTCTTGACTAGGACAAATGTCACCTGTCAAAATAGATAACGTAATAAGCATGTAGTAAGTGCTGTAGTCAAGCATTAAAAACGTATTTTAGAAGACGATAAGAAAAGCGTAATTCGTTACTTTGCTAGAATTGTGCATGAGCAGTATAATGCATAACGTAGGGCTGTTCGGTCCTAAGATTTCAGTATCGGTATCCGGTACCATGAAGTACCGGTCCTACAACCGGTACACCGGTTCCAACAATTAGATCAGTGAAACCGATACTGAACCGATATACCGGCTGGACCGTAAGACCGGTTGAACCGGAATATCGGAAAGACCGAAAAACAGTTTTGGTTCTTGTGCCAGTGAGTATATACCTAATGATACCGTATTAAAAAATGTAAATAGAGAGTTCTTGTGCCTGTAATATTAAGTAAACACGGTAACGTAATAAATAAGGTATTTTGAGGAATAAATTAGATTTCTCGGACTATATAGTTAATCTATCCGTTACCGTTATAACGTTATTGATCTAACTTAAGATTCTCGTTGTTTATGTTCACATTTCCGGCATATTCTTGATTTCTTGTCCAACATTCTCTTTACTGGAAGCTGCTGTTCTTGGAGATATAAATGGAGCGGAAATAAGATGATATTTTACATATTTTAAATAATAGAGTAGACACTATTGAATATCGGCCTGAGTTTTACGGACATTTTAATTTAAATAATATAAATAAGTGATCCATGAGTAAGATGTTTTAATTGAAGTTTAGATGTATTAAAAAAAGAAGACTAGATTACTAGACCATACTAGACTAGCATTGCCTTAAACATACATCAAAATAAATTATATTGCATATTCCTGACCGTATTAAACCGAATGATCGAAAAAAACGGCGTCCGGTTGGCTTGGAAATGAATATCCATTACATTCCCCACATAATTTTACATATAAAATTACAACGATCTTCATTTCATAGCTCATTTCATCGCTGACGCATTTTTTTCGATCATACGGAACCTAGACACAGATTACTAAATACAGATGCGAAAGGACTAGTCGGCCGCTTTGTGTCGCGACGCACAAAGGCCGGGACCGGCCGGTATATGGCGCGCGTTTTTTGCACCATGGGTAGAACGTTTGGCGTGTAAAACAAGGATACTAGTAATTTGCACCATCCCGATCAGAAAAACAACTAAAATATCAAATTCACTGGCTTTATTATCCTAACGGTTGTATTCGTCAATTTCTTTAACAGCCTGATAAATTTAACAAGTTGATCCCTAGAAATCAGGACAATTTTCGATTAATTCGAGACCAGTCTCTATGTAAATTATCAACGTGTTAAATTCATCAGTTTGTGAAAAGTAGTGATTACGGAACAGGGTTGGCATGAATGAAATCGTGATTTAAATCAAGTGATTTTTTTAATTTTAATCATGTGATTTAAATAAAAAAATAATAATTTGATTGAAACTTTATTATAAATCAAAAAATAACTGTAAAAGTTATAAAAATGTGTCCTAGAAAACTATAAAAAATATTTCTATAACAGATATAACAGATAATAAATCGACAAAAATTTTAAATGTTATATAACTATATAAAAATATCTATTCATCAATTTAATTGTTGGACCGATTTTTGAACTAATTTCGTGTGAATCCATTAGATCGCTAAAAGCAGGGATTTATTTTAAAATTTATGTATAAGTGACAAAAATTCGCTGTTCGAATACATATCATTCGCAAAGTCTAGTGCAGAACTAGGTTCTTCTAATACATATAGAGACTATATCTTCTTTCCCGAGAATCTATATTCGTTGTCAGAAAATATGTTGTTTTATTTTTTTTTTGAAACGGTTGTTTCCAAATTCCTACCGACATTTTGATCTGCAGTAAGTACTTTACACTTTGACATTAGGTAATACATACTAATTTCATTCTTGACTTAAGACTATTTCCGAACAATAGTGTATTGTTTTATTAGGAGTAAAATTATTATTTTTTGACGATGCGGTACCTTTGAAGGGCCATCGTAAAGCTATTCCGACGGTACAGAGAGGCACAAAAAGTAAATTTTTACTCCGAATAGAACATACTATTTTTTTAAAACATTACAAATAATTTTTTAATTAATTTCAAACATTGCAAATAATATAAACAGTAATCGAGCAACAATTTGTACACTCGTTGAATTTGACACTTATCAGTTTATCAGTTTAATAATATATTTTTGTACTTTTGTGCTTAGGCGGAACAGTGCTTTACTTTTATGCCTAGGCGTTAAAATGACAAAAATTAATACTTTTGAGACGTTTGAAAAAAATCCTTTTGATCTGAAGCGAACGACTTTTTTGCGGAATATATTGGTGACCGATGTGGAAAAATCACAAAGCCCCGTAGAATTGTTAATGTTATCGGTATCGGAGTATAGATTTAGCCATTTAGGATAGGACTTTAATTGGAAATAAGTCCTAGTCATTTGGAAAACCGATTTAAATATTGTTTTGAATTAAAATCAAAAAAATCTGATTTAAATAAAAAAAATCTGATTTTTTAAAGAAATCATGCATTTTTCCAACCCTGTTACGGAATAACAAACGTCTACAAATACAGCAGTGGAAATATAAAAAAATAAAATTATAGTCTAAATAAAACTACCTACTTCATACAAAACTAGCCTAAAATTGATTATTCTCCTTACATTTGAAAAGATTTTACAAATGACTCAATATCATAAGTTTCCGATTAGTTTTATCAGTCTTCTTAGCACTTTTCAAATCACGATTTGCATATTTCAAAGTATAATATATTCTTAATCTGACAAATAACTTAATTAAATATGTTTTAGGAAAGTAGGATGAACAAAAGTAATTTTACTCATTTCTTGAAAAAAAAAAGTTGGAAATACCTTCATCACCCGAAACATCATCAAAAAACGACAAAAATATTTGTTCTAATTTATAGATATAATGAACGAATTCTTCACAGGGAGATTTCAAACCTCCAAAAGCACCTTTCTTTTCGTCATAAGCTTTGAGTTTCAGAAATAAATTAGTCTTATCGACAGTTTGTGATTCTTTTGAAAAATTAACACAGTCGTCACATGAATGTTTGTGTAACGCTTTATTTATTAAATATCCGCAAACATATGCAAAGGCGTTTTGGGTCGTGATATTTTCATTTCGATAATCATAATCGGGTAAAGTTATTGCTTGAGAACTATTGGTTATTTTAGCTTTTGTTTCATAAACATTTTTTGTCTCTTTTAGTTGTGATAATAGAACACTCAAATCATCCTCACAATTCATATATTCGGAATGCAAAAAACTTTGACAAAACAATTTTCTGAAAGTTCTTTCAAATTGTACAGGCGTAGGATTAACCGAATTACCACTTTGTTGTCTTACACTTCCGAAATAGTTCTCCAGACAATCCTGATTAACTTTTCTAGTTTTAAGATATCGAAAACCGACTCCAGCAAGTCGCTGCCAAAGAATTTGAATCGATTTAATTGTTATCAACCAACATTTGATGAATTTACATCTTAGAGTGACATCTTTGTTATTCGAATCATAAATTTTTAGGTTTTTTAAAAAAAATTTCATTTCTTCCAAAAAATCATTCTGGTAATCAAGTCCCTGGAAAGAATTTTTAAATTTATTTGGATGATTGACCTCTGATGAGTTTAAAATATCAAATAGTTTATCAAACTTTTCTATAACCTCGATAGTCGTTTGCGCATCAGGTGATAGTACACCCAAGCTCATGTAAGCCTGCATACCACTTGCAACAGTCCTACTTAAAACCTGACTGGCCAATTTTACTTTCATTTTTGAAAGTTTGTAGGATAGATATGGGCGTCAGTGAGCTTAGGTGCGCATCTATATGGCTGCTTTTTGTCCTCAATGTAAAACGTTTCTACAAATTTCCAAGATGTTTTATGGTCACCGATAGAAAATGATTTGTCCATGAAATTATTTTTTGTCGCTTTTTGCAAATGAGGAGGGTCAAAATGGTAGGTTAATTTGAAATCTCCTATGGTAAATTTAGAATTATCTGGATTAACTTGAAGAATTCTAGATAATTCTATATATTTTTTTTGTATACTATTTATAATAATTTGCTTCTAGTAGAACAATGCAAATATACACATTTATGTCCTCCAGGCATATTTGAAAATACACAAGCACACGTACTATTAAACCGTCCGCCACACGCACAGACGACAAATCGAACAATACTAACCCCGTACTACGCGAGCGGCCGACAGCGGCTGCTCGAGAGGCGTGATTTTAGACGCTATTGAAGTCGCTCACCGCGCCGGCATACGCATCTGTATTTAGTAATCTGTAACCTAGAGTTTAATAAACACAATCAGCTTTGCACAAAAACCGGTACTAAAATCGTTTTATAGTTTTTTTGATTTTCATGTTCTCATGAATCTATTTTTCTGTACCGATTGAAACCGGTCTTTCGGGACCGATTTAAACCGGTCTTCCTGTACCGGTACCAAAATCGGTCTTCCAGTACCTGTACCGGAAGAAACCGGTATACCGGTCGCATTTAAGCAAAATGTACCATTATTTAGTCTATAATGTGATTTTCCCTGCTCTCATTGGTCGAGACAAATGCTGGTGCGTTTTGCCAAACATGACTAAAATGCGGTACATTTTGCCACGTTAGCCTGAGGCATTCCAAACGCAGGTACATGTTGCTAAACTTTACTAAAACGTGGTGTATTATGCCTGAGATCGAATACCATTAACCTTTTCAATTGCCCTGAGAAAAAAAAAAGAATTGACGGATTGATATGACAACTTCGCCAAAAACACGCCGCCGTTATACGCTTCTCTCAAGTAGTTTTCATTTGACAGACGTTGTTTTTGTGTGTTTGAATAAACTTTAGCATTTTTAATTGATATCTACCATTACATCTGAAGGTTTGACGCATATTTTACCGGATCAATTTCGATACAGTGTAAAAGAAGTTTTGGTTTAAGGTAGCATTATTTATGCTGAACTAAAAACAGCAGAAGATTGCGGTCATGGATTTCAGAATTTTCGCGACTAAATTCAGTTGCCTGGATTGTACAACGTACTTTTACTTTGTTCTTTCCGTATTGGACAGGCTGTATGGAGGTGGCTTTGGGACAAAAATCACGCGGTTTCCTAAGAAGATCGACCATTATTATACAAGGTGGCGCACCTCATTCGCCTCAGTTGATTAAACGGAAAGATGTCGAAACAATTTTTTATGGGTATATGTAGAGAAACAATGTGCATAATTTAAAATTATTTTGAAATGTACAGGGTGTGTTAGAACTAAGATCTATACCAAAGTTATATTTTTTCTTATGGAACACCGGGTATTTTATTTCATTTTTGGGTTCTTGGACATAAAATAAGGCATTTATTATAAGGGTTTAATATGTTTAGATGCTTTAGATGTGGTTTTTGAGATATTTAAAGACATTTAACACAAGGTATTTTATTTCATTTTTGCATGCTCTAATAAAAAAGTTTGTCAACACCCTGTACAGGGTGGTTCGAATTCGACGCTCATCATTGGGATTTCGGAAACCGTAAGAGATACAGTATCGGTTAAATGGAGGCAAAGTTGCACAATTTGATGCTCAATAAAATGTCGTATTGCATTTTTTTATTATTTTTTTGCATAAAATATTCTGGTGGTGGAATTTTCTGTACGAAACGTCGGCAAATATCAAAGTGACTATATATAGTGTTTTAAGAGTGATGAAAGGATTTAATTAAATTGAAAAAAATTAGGTCCGTATTTAAAAAATTAAGTTGATGATTGTCGCCAGAAGCCGAAACGTCAGAGGCATTATTTAATCACACGGAGTTATAGAGCAGAAAAAGTGGCCATGAAAATGTGTTTTTCATTTTAAGTTATCTTAACAAATAAAGTCAGGAAACAATAGAAAGCAAAATTGAAAATTCCGTTTTTTTTTCGAATATATTCGGAAGTATTCGGAATTTTTCAAAATGCAATATGGCATTTTATTGAGTATCAAATGGCGCAAATTTGCCTCCATTTAACCGATCCTGTATCTCTTACGGTTTCCGAAATCCCAATGATGAGCGTCGAATTCGAGACAACCTGTACATTACTTTTCAGAGTTTATTCTTGTGGTGACTTTGAAGCCCGAGAAATTAACATTACTGAAACAATGTATTGTTTTCTTAAATGTATACAGGGGTATCAAAAATTGCTGGTCTATTTTAAATATTTATTTTACATAAAAACTTCCTTATTTCTATGTATGACGCAATTTTTAATACCCCTGTATACATTTAAGGAAGCAATCAAATTTTTTAGTAAGGTTTATTTCTCTGGCTTGAAAGTCAGCACAAGAATTAATTCTGAAAAGTAATGTACAAGGTGTTGACAAACTTTTTTTATCATAGCATGCATATTTAAATATCTTTAAATATCTCAAAAACCAAAACATTTAAACATATTAAACCCTTATAATAAATGCCTTATTTTATGTTCAAAAATCCAAAAATGAAATAAAATACCTGGTGTTCCATAAGAAAAAATATAACTTTGGAATGGCTCTTAAGTTCTGACACACCTTGTACATTTCAAAATAATTTTAAATTATGTACATTGCCTTCCCACATATACCTGTCTGTGTTACAGAGACGCCACGACACACGGAAATCAAACAAACAATTTTTCAGAAGTGTCAGACTAATATTTTATAAAATAGGCGTTTTCTTAACATTTCACGCTGGGCCTAAAAAGACGATCAAATATTAAATAGGATAATTCTGTGGTCATTCCTAAAAATCAAAGATTTTAATAATAGCGTTTATAACATGTTAGTGTAATCTGCAATGTCCTTAAGACATTTGCATGATGCTGGAAAGAATATGGCAGAACGTACCACGTGTTAGTCACGGTTGGCAAAACGCACCAGCGTTTAGTCTCAATCAATGAGAGCGGGGAAAATCACATTATGGACTATATAATGGTACATTTTGCTTAAAATGCATACCGGTCTTGTACCGATACCGGAATATTTCAAAAGTACCAGTATACCAGAAGACCGAACATGCCTAGCGTAACGTAAGTAATGTGACTTAAAAATACAAAGTGTTACACACATAAAAACCCTCTAATGATGACGTGTACTCAACAAGTATTGCTAGTTATTGCTAAATAATTTCTATTAAAAGATATATACTTACTTTTGTCTCAAGCAATCATTTTTGGCAATAATTTCAAAGGTATCTTCTGGATTAAAACTTAAGAAAGGACGGGCATGATTATTTATTTCCTGATTATTTACTAAAATATCAGCATGCCAATTTTCCAATCTCTGTAATTCTACAGCCAGCTTGTCAATACTATCAATAAAATCGTCTGTCCACAACAATAAACTTTCAGAATGCTTCAGCAATTTCCATACATTCCTATGAAGTATATCAGTAAGCCATAGACAAATAAAGATAATAAAAAATAATCACGTAGTGTAATTTTGAATGTACTTATCCTTTTCAAAGATGCAGTATTTTAATTTTAGTGTTGAATTAACCACTTCATTTATTCTTTCTAAAAAATCTTTAGTGTAGTCGCCACCAGGTTTTCTTTCCAAAATTTTCTTGCAATTTATTTGATTCAATCTAGAAAAAAAAATTAATTAAATTGTCTCCTATTAAGTGATTTAAGTGATTATAGGATCGTAAAGCATCCAGTTAAGCCAAAATTATCATTGATGGTCTGTTGTTTCACCGGAAATGACTACAATTTTTAGTTTTTAAATGGCACCCTTGGTATATTTCTACTTTATTCGATAGAAAATGACACTCTGAATAGAATGACATATCATATGTCAACTTTTGACATTTTCGTTTGAAAAAATCATATTTCAAATTTTAATCTAGAATGCCATTGCTGTGTTAAAAACACTAACTTTTAAGCAAGAAGCCTTGGAAAAATAATTTTGATCGTCTAAAGTTTTTCTTGTCTTGTCCTGACCTTAAAAGAAGCCCAAATCGTATTTTTAATCATATCTCAATTATTTCAAATGGAATAAGGGTAGCTCATTAGCATATTTGGAAAAAGCATTTTTTTACGAATAATTTGGTACCACATACCTGGTATTTTGAGTCAAATTACCGTTATAAACCGCATGTTACAAATTCAAATAAACCATATGCGAAAATGTCAAAAGTTGACATATGATATATCATTCTATCCAGACTGTCATTTTCTAAAGTAGAAATATATTGAGGGTTGCATTTAAAATCAAAAGTTGTAGTCATTTCCAGTTAAACAGGAAGTGACCAAAATCATTTGAATACGTCAATTAATCCTAATTTACGTCATATACTAGAATACCAAATTTTGTTTTTTTTATCTAAAAAAATAAAAAAGGTATAGGGGTGAACCATTTTTGAGACGCACCCGGTATGCTCCGTTTTTTTCTAAGATATTTTCATATTACAAACTTATATAGGTATAATATAAGTGTACAGGGTGTCCCAATTAGCGATTAGTGTTGTGATACGAAAGACTGGGAACGCGTACGGAGGAACAAGTATCAGTGAGTAACAGTTTGCAACAGATACGACCCATATAGATCATATAATGATCTAGGATTACCAATTATTTTTATAATATTTTTATGGACGCTTGATTGACTTGGACCAGACCCGTATGTTGTTCATACGGGTCTGGATATTTTATTTCGGAATTTTAAAGAGCTTGTCATTCGAAATACCGTCATATATTACAACGACACTTATATTAAAGACACAAATGCCCCTTAAAAATGGGTATTATAATAAACAATTAAGAAAAACTAAATAATGATACATTAGATACAGGTTTTGTGTGGTACAGAACCGTGACCTTCTCCAACAAAAATGGCAGACTGACGTCCACTAATGAAGCGCATAGGCCTTAGGGCTCGCTATGGGAAATCTCCAATGGGGAACTTACTCTAGAAGAAGAGAAAATAGTTGCATAGCGTATGCAAATGATATAGTCATGATCGCTCGGGGGAGACAAAAAGGCACCCTGTGTGATATTATCCAAAGAGGACTCCGTATCACTGAGAGATGGTGTAGGACTGTCGGGCTGAGCATCAACTTAGACAAAACCGCGGTAATACCTTTCACCAAAAAGCGAGGTCTAAAATAATCCATCTAGATGGAAAAGAAATACTGCCATCACAGGAATTTAAATATTTGGGAATAACCCTGGACAGTAAATTTCTATAGAACAGGCATCTTAAGAACATTGCCAGCAAAGCCACAAAGGCTCTCATAATATGCAGAAGACTGGCGGGAAATAGATGAGGCTGCGCCCCTAACATTTTGCGGTGAATGTATACAATGATAGTCATACCCATGGAGCAGTTGCTTGGTACACAAAACTAGTGCAACGTATAGCACGTCACAACCTGTGTAAAATACAGAGACTGGCATGCATCTGCATCACAGGTGCCACGATTATATGCCCAACAGCCCAATAATGGAGGTCATTCTAGACCTAACGCCTTTGTACATTGTCGACGGTAGATATGCCAATGCGATAATGATTAGAATAGTCACTGATGGAAAGGGTACTGGGATAATTTTCAGGTCAGGGGCTTGGAACACTCCCAAAAAGAAAATTTCACGCCTCCAGCTTCCAGTGGATGATGACATACTAAGAATGTACAACTTTGGGAAACACCTCACTGTAGTATTAAGCAATAAAAAGGATTGGAAAAGAGATATGTTTGCTCAGCATGTAAAAGACCATATCATAACGTGATATACTGATGCTCCTCAAACCCAAGCAAGGACAGAAATAGGAGTATTTTGGGCGTATTATTTACAATGGGCCCCAGCATTCTGCAGGCACGCTTACACTAGTAAATCTACGCTATCGAAAAAAGCGTATAACTTATCTTACTATCGAAAACAGGAAATAGCCATCTTATCTGATAGTCAAGCAGCACTAAAAGTGATCAACTCAAGGTCTGTTCCCAGAAGAATCAAGTCAGGGATTCTTCTGGGAACAGACCTTCAGTAAGTGTCAATTAGAAATTAGGCAAAGAAAATATGATGAGTTATAACTCAAGAAAGAGAGATACACAATAGACCTCTAAGATCGCGGTGCATAATCCCCCTCCCAAACATTCTACATTCTCTCTAGATAAAATAAAAAAAAAATTACAAAGTTGCATTACGTGGGCAACTGAAAAGAATATACCCCAGTTTTAATTTCTCCATGTAAAAACAAATAAAAGTCGTTTTTTTAAAGGTGCGCTTTACCTGGCCCTTTAACCCCATTCACCCATACTTTTTAAAATAAAAGCAATCTTTAGATAAAACCTGTCCATGCATGAGTCAGGGATGATTTCCACAGACGACATCCAAAAAATGACAGAAAATACAATAATAATATTTTCCGTCATAAATTATTTAACTGCGAACTAAAACGACAGATAACAAAGCCGGTATGTCAGGTATCTTTTAGTTGGACATACTTTATCAAATTTAGATATTTTTAGTAGTGATGAGAAAAACCGATTAATTTCAATAATCGAGTACTCGAGCTTCAAGCGATTTCAATAATCGAGCCATCACTCAAGCAAAATTTCGCTCGTATCTAAAAATACGGCTCTTCGCCCGTCGCTTGTTGTACTCGCAACTCGTAAGGCCAAGCAGTAAGTTGCATGCGCAGAGCACATATTCTCGCTGATGATGAATGAGTAAGTAACAAACGACAAGCGACGAGTAATTCGCTTGATTTAGGTTAATTTAAAACATTGTCGATGTAGGTCGTAAAATGTTGTCACTCAGATACGCAACGGATAACGTCGTATAAATTTGCTACCTGCAATGTATGTAGAAAATTCTCTCGGTTTTGTATCGAGTATGTCACAATCGGATTTCAATATATTTCATTCTAGGATCGCTTGCGTTCGTCGCTCGTACATAATCGAGCGATGTCGGTTATTTCAATGATCGAGTACTTGAGTGAGTAATTTATAAATCGGTAATATTGGCTACAGCCAACATACTTATTTTAGAGCTGGACAAATGAAAAAGAGTAGAGCGGAAAAAAAGCAATATTTCCAATGTTACCGACTTGCGGTAATAGTACGTAATATTACCAAAATTACCGGGAATATTATCGCGGTAATATTACCTTTATTTACATCACTAGTTATTTTAGACATGCAGGTATTTTTTTTTTCTAAAATGTCAAAGTCAATATTTCTTAAACAAAATTGAACTATAATGTACTTACATACCTGTCGATAAATTTGCTTGTCTGAAATATATTTTCAATCCCATTTCTTGAATCCTCAACACACGTTTTTAAAATCTGCGTTTCTCTTCTAAATGTTCTAAGATTTTTATCCCTCCTCTCCAAGTTTGACAGTAGACGTTCATAGCACTTCAAACATTGGAAAAGTTCAAGTTTGTTTGAAGATGACGAAGTGATAAATTTATTCCTATCATGTACATTAATCTTAGCAAGAACAGTCTTAAAAATATCAGATATCTTAGTATTATTTATTAATAAAGACGATTCTATCTGTTTGATATGGTCAATTAATAATGTAAAAGCTTTCTCTAATTCTATTTCTATCTGACATTGTTTATAAATAAAGAACAAGGCCTCACGGTAGAGAGCTTTAATGAATTTGACATTAAATGTTTGAGATACGTTAAAAGTCTCTCTTATTAATTTAGGAAGATCATGTTTAGGTTTTTGTAATTCAAAACCTTTCCTAAAAACATAAATCATACAATGCTCTTCTCTCAATAAATGTTTAATTATATTTAATTTGTCTATGGTGCATATAATATTTGATTCATTATCACAGTTTTTATCCGTAAATAAGAAAAATAACTCTTCCTCGGGTACTTCAATATCTCTTGAAATCAAACTTTTAAGAGTGCAAGGCTTACAGTCAGAAAACTTATATGAATAAAATTCGTAATTATATACCGAAAAAACTTTAATAACTTTTGTATTTAAAAAACTGTTTAAATAGTCTAAAGACTCTATTTCATCTATTTTAATTCTACTGGGAGCATCAAATTGCAGTATATTTTTTAGCCATATTTCTAAACTTTCTTTTAGGTAGCTAGTTAAAAAATTTTCTTTTTTTATATGTTTAGAGGTTGTAACAACTCCTGCGTAAGACATAAATATACATATATCATCAGATGATTTATTGCGTATTTTTTCATATCTAAAAAAAATACATTAATGCTTAACTCAATTTAATTCAATCATTAATGCCTTTCAAATGGACCTAATTCTGGTAAAAATGGTAAAATTCCACAGGCTATTTCAAAAGCTATCAAACCCATTGACCAGTAATCTACACTTTTGGTGTAAGATTTACAACAAAAAATTTCAGGGGCCAAATATTGCAAAGTACCAACAAAACTTAATGTACTATCTTGTAGTTCTTTTGCATAGCCCAAATCTACAAAATAACAACACAATAAAAAAGATACAATGAAATGAAGATCGCTGTCATTTTATAATATAAAATGACAGTGATCTTACATGGCGATCTTACATATTAATAATACACAGCAATCTTACATATAAATAATTTTACATATTATGTAAAATTATATGGGGAATACAACCAAATCATAAACTAACCTATAATTATGTAAATAATTTGGCCTTTCCGATTATCACAATGTTGTAAAACAATATTTTCAGGCTTCAGGTCACGATGGGTAATATTCTTATTGTGTAAATATTTTAAACCATTCGAAATATCGTTGAGAATACATTTAACATCATCTTCCATTAAACCACATAATTTTAAAGGCTCACTTGTTAAGTATTTCCTTAAATTACCTGATGAGTAAAGAGAGTCAAAATCTATTTATCAATAATTGTTTATGGCTTTTAAAATATACCTACCCTTTCTACAATATTCCATTGATAAAAGTGGCAACTTTGAGGGATTATATTTGTTTAAGAAAACCTCCAGCTCTAATGGAAGTTTTTTAAATTTTATAATGTTTGGATGGTCAACACTTTGTATAAATTCTACTTCCTTATGCCACCGTTCTTTTTGCTTTGTTGAAAGGGCACTGGGCTTCAGAAATTTACATTTTTTAATTGCTAAAAAATTATTCTGAATAGCTGGTTTCTAATACACACGTATTGTCGAATATTTACCAATAAATTCATTTGTATTATCATTTTTCCATAACATCACAGTACCAAATGCTCCCGAACCTAGTTCAGAAGTTTTCTTCCAATCCCTGATTTCACTGGGCATTTCCATTTTTGGTTTTAAAAGGCACCTTCGTCAAATTAAAAATATCTTATATATTTATTACACAATATCTATAATCTGGCTATATGTAGAATAGGTAAATAAACAATGGCATTTTACACACTTATTAGTAACCACAGTTAGTAACACATAGTATATTGAAGTTTAACTCCTTTGTCTTATACCAAAGTCTTATACTTTTAACAATAATTAATTAAAAACTCAAATAAATTTAAAATTTCTCTGGTTAACCCAAAGAGGTTAGAAGAGAAAGAGGTAACAAATGCTCTATTTTATAATGCGCGAAGGCTGCCTGTTTTTCCGATCTGGGTTCCTTTGGTGGGGGTCACGCCAGGAGCGGATTTAGAAATTTTTAAGTGAATAATGATATACATCTAATATATAAAATTCTCGTGTCACAGTTTTTAACAATGGTACAAAGAATACAAGGTATGATGATAGCGGCTCCAATTTCGTTCAGTTCGCGCATACCACCTGTGACGTCACTAGGAAAATAATGAATAAATAAAAAATAAAGAAAGTTGACAGGAGATCTGCATTTTTTGGGGTTATGGTTAAGAATTGTTTATTTTTAAGACTTTTTAGTTCGTTTAATTTAATAATTACTAAAACCAGCAGTTCCAAAAATATATTTAAAAATAATTATCTATTAACATGGATTTGGACGATAATAATAGGTAAGAATACTAAATTTATTTCTATATTCGGTATAAAATTGTTTATTAGGTTTTTAGTTTGCGATGTTTATGGTAAATAATTTTCATGTTCATTGCCTCTGAATTCACATGAGGACAGAGATGAGGATATCTATGGAAAAGTAACCACAAGAGGAATTGTTACATCATTTAAAAAATGTTGGGAAGTTGAAGTTTCCCATCGAAAAGTAGAAAATGCCAATGCAGATGAATGTATTGTAATTGTGATAGAAGTAATTCCAAGGGTGAAGTCTATTATAATTAGTGACCTGTGCTTTTTTCTTTTTATATGTAGATGTTTCAGGTGTTGAGAATAAATGGGTTGAACGAAACCCAAAATTTAGAGGAAGTATTTGCATACCCAGAATATGACCATCAAGGATTATATAGCTCAAATTGCCTTTAATGGTAGGCAATTATTCAATGCAAATTAACTTTTTAAGTGACTGAAATATTAAATAGTTTACAATATGGTATATCACTAAAAATATATTACTTTTAGGTACCATTAGTGCCCGATACATTTCAAAAAGTAGAATATTATTTTATATTAAATGAGGTGTTGTACCAACAATCAATTTATATTAATACCGGAGATTAAAAAATAAAAGAATAAATAGTTCTTTTTTTTTATACTACAAAAATAAACTATAGAATACAACAGTATTTAAAAAATTAATAAAAAGTTATGTCCCGGCCGAGACTCGAACTCCGGTCTCTCGCTTCCTAGCCCGACTCCTTACGCACTGCTCCACAGTAACTTGCTTAGCGATAATTCAATGACGGTATATAAACAAAAAAACAGGTTTATAACAATATCTTGACGATTTGAACTGGCGCGCGGAGAGTGCTGACCAATAGCGCCAGTTATCACCTGTGACGTAGCGACCAACCTGCGCAATATCATACCTTGTATTCTTTGTACCATGATACTGAACAAACAATGAACGTCAGAACACATTTTCATGTCAAATGATCAGTACATTCGTACTTTCAGTTAAAGTGAAAACCAGTTCTACTTTTTTTCATTTTGACTGATCATTATCGAATAATGAATAGAAACTGAAGCGTGAGAACTACATTTTCGTGATTTGTGCAGTTTACAAGTTAAGTTAATTAATTCTTTTAATATAGTTTCACTAGCACCCAATTTATTTCTTCGCAATATCCAGGACCTGACCACCTACTACGTTTTTTTTTCTTTTCTGATTCACCAGAATATTCTGTAATTCATTTGCTAATTGTAAACAAACTTCGCGAACACCTGGTTTCAATTTTGTTTTAACCATTTTCATGTCTATACGAAATCACCACATTAGAATGTTTGGACCAACTGAATACTGAATGTAGCAAAACATGAAACGTGTGAATACAATCGTTGTTTTTTATTTTTCATTGATAATGAATCAGTCAGACTGCGTCAGCGAAACTGACAAGTGAGAACCCGCCTTAAGGCTAAATATAGTCTATCCCACGTCTATCCAGCAAAATAATATAATAAATGACCAATGGCCATAGAAAAATAGACCTTTCTCAAGGGTTGTATCCATACATTTTACAGATTGATCGAAAACATTTAATCATCGCATTGATCATATAGGCGCCTGCGTCACTGAAGTTCCTTTTCAAGAACTGCTTTGAATACGTTTCGTTTACAACGATAAATATTTAACATTTATAATTTATAGTATTTTTTATTTCCTTTTACTGAACTTAAAATAGTTTTTGGATTCTTCAGTTAATCGTTAGTTTCTGAAAGTTATCAGAATCAAAGTCAAAATCAAAGATTTGCTCAGTCTTTCTTTTGATGAGATTTACTTTTTTTGATATTCAAATAATTAAAAAAAACACACAATTTGCCTTTAAAGTGCAAAAAATAACATTCTAAACTCTATTTTTTACTTGATGTAACGAATATTCGCATTCTTATAATTAATACGAATATTTTTGAAAATCAATGTTCGAAAGAATATATAAAATTTAAATATCATTGGGTAGATTTAGCAAAGAAGTATGACTCTTATAATTTTTTAGTAAATATATAGTCTTGCAATTATTAAAGCAATTAGCATTTACTTTTATACTTGCATTTTTTTATTCGCGAATTTGTTTTTTGAAAATTTAGAATTTTTTGAATTTTTTTTAGTTTATAATTAAAAAACATAATTTTTTGATAATATAGGGGTGAAGGATAAATAGGATTGAATTTACAAGAAAGGAAACCCAGAAAAAATCCAGTGGTTTTCAAAATTCAAGCAAACATTTTTTTTTGAAAATTTCAAAGTAAAATAACTTGGTTAATTTGAAAAACGGCAAAGAGAAAATATGTTTGTTTTATCGAGATCTACCAGCCCTGAAAAATGTGTACTTATTTAAGACTCACCCTGTATATAAAAGATATAAACAAGGATAAAAGTTATTGTTTTTAGTTATCTTTTAATTTTAAACTTTTATCAGTTTTTTCTTTGGTTCTTACACATATTGTTCATTTATATGCCAAACTAGTAGTAGCAAAGAATATTATAGTTTTAAGAACTCTCGTGTGGAAGCTTTAGTGATTTGTCATACGGTGGCGCTTTTGAACATAATCGAAGCCTGAAAATGCTAATATTTTAAATTTTGAGGACTACGCGCGGCGATATTTCGTACGGTGTTGCCAAACATATTTTATTTCTCGATATTTAAAGAAATATGTATTGATTATATATTTCGTATATTCGATAGTACATGAGGCATCCTAAGGCTATGAAAAAAAAAACGTAGCTATGAAAATAAAATTTTAGATTTTTATTTTTTGTACCTTCTAATAAAAATTACTTCTATTCCAATAAAAAATTAACTAGTATGATTATGTGTTATCTGTGCTAGTATTAGGAAACTGGAGTAAATACGGAGAATATTAATTCGTTCTCTAAGATGAGCACTACTAAGTAATTTTTTAAAATTCGACCCATAAGGGGGTGTAATTAGATAAAGGGATGTAATTATACAAAAAAAAATCTGTACCTACTAGGAGTATGAACTTTTGCACAGATGTGGCGCATTTGAACATTGATAAGCGATTTTTGGAAATGTATAGCCTAAGGGTAGTGAAACTGGGGGTGAAATTTTGTACAAAAAGTGTTAGTTCTAGGAGTATGAAATTTTGTACAGAGTTTCCTTAAGTGACGAAAGTGAGTACCTAGAAGCTAATTTTTGACATTCATCCCTTAGAAATAAGGGATGAAAATTTGTACAAAAGGTTAAAATCGGTTTTAGAAGTATGAATTTTGCAGACGTTCCTTATGTAACGTAATTTAGCATTAAGAAGCAATTTTTGGAAATTCGCTTTCTAAGGGTGTGAAATGAGGGGTTGAACGTTCTGGAACAATAAATTCTGTTCAAGGAATATGAGAATTTGCACAGAGGTTCCTTATGTAGCGTAATTGAATAATTAGAGTGATTTTTGGAATTCATTCCTTAAGGGGGTAAAAGTAGGGGTGAAAATTTGTATAATTTTTTTATGTAAAATCCGTTCTAGGAGTAGGAGTATGAAATTCTGTTCAGAGGTCCCTTAAATGATGAAAGTGAGTACCTAGAAGCGAATTTTAGGCATGCATCCCCTAAAAAATAAGGGATGAAAATTTGTACAAAAATTTGTTAAAATCGGTTTTAGAAGTATGAATTTTGCAGACGTTCCTTATGTAACGTAATTTAGCACTAAGAAGCAATTTTTGGAAATTCGCCCTCTAAGGGTGTGAAATGAGGGGTTGAACGTTCTGGAACAATAAATTCTGTTCAAGGAATATGAGAATTTGCACAGAGGTTCCTTATGTAGCGTAATTGAATAATTAGAGTAATTTTTGGAATTCATTCCTTAAGGGGGTAAAACTAGGGGTGAAAATTTGTATAATTTTTTATGTAAAATCCGTTCTAGGACTAAGAGTATGAAATTCTGTTCAGAGGTCCCTTAAATGATGAAGTGAGTACCTAGAAGCGAATTTTAGGCATGCATCCCCTGAAAAATAAGGGATGAAAATTTGTTAAAATCAGTTGTAGAAGTATGAATTTTGCAGACGTTCCTTATGTAACGTAATTTAGCACTAAGAAGTAATTTTTGGAAATTCGCCCTCTAAGGGTGTGAAATGAAGGGTTGAACGTTCTGGAACAATCAATTCTGTTCAAGGAATATGATGATGATTATATATGATGATTTGCACAGAGGTTTATTATGTAGCGTAACTGAATAATTAGAGCGATTTTTGGAATTCATTCCTTAAGGGGGTAAAACTAAGGGTAAAAATTTGTATAATTTTTATGTAAAATCCGTTCTAGGACTAGGAGTATGCAATTTTGTAGAGAGGTCCCTTAAGTGATGAAAGTGTGTACCCAGAAGAAAATTTTGGACATGCACCCCCTAAAAAATAAGCACTCCCTATAAAACAATTAAAATAAAAAATTTGTCTAAAAAATAAAAAAAAGTTGGGGTGGGCTCTTATCACTTAGGGGTATAAAAAATAGATAACAACCTAGGAATAGGTTGTGACCAAACCAAACCAAACCAGACCTACTGAATATACATATAAAATTTTATCAAAATTGGTCTAGCCGTTTCGGAGATGGTAACAAAAAATTAAAAAAAAACAACCCCTATTAAAATATAGGGGATGATGGTGGAACGGTGAAAATTTAGGGTTATTTGTATTTATTAATGCCAACTAAAAAA